TAGGATTTGATTTAGGATTTGGTTTAGGATTTAGGGTTTGAAATAGGGTTTGATTTAGGATTTAATTTAAGATTTGTTTAGGATTTGACTTAGGATTTAGGATTTATTAGGATTTAGGATTTATTAGGGTTTAATATTTAATTAGGTTTGGTCTAAAGTTTGAGTGAAATTCAATAGGATTTTAACTAGAATTAAATTAAGGTTGAATTAACATATATTTGAGTAATATTTGTGTTTATTCTAATATTTCTTTAAGAATTTTATTATTTGTTTGAAATTTCTGTGAATTGTTTTGAATTTGATTACGTTTGTTTACCATTATTATAGTCTAATTAGAGCATTGTTAGTATTCTATTAGAATTAGGATTTTGTTATCGCAATTTCTATTCTTCCTTCTACAGCCAGGTGCCCGGAGCATTCTCAAGCAAGACTTCACAGATTACGACAACGCTGCATAAATAGGAGTGGATCTATGTAGAATAGATATTAGTTTGTTTTTGTAAGATATTAGTAAAATAGATTAATAGTCCATAGAATAGTCAGTTCAGGAGGACGGATGGTTGATTTAGTTATGAAAAGTCGTTTATTACAAGATTACGGTTAGGATTTGGAAATCAATAGGAATTATATAGGAATTGTAGAAGTTTTTTGGGGTGCCAAACTGTGATAGTCATGAGCCGGGGTTAAGCTTGGTGCTACCTCTTTGTTTTCTTTATTGTTGAAGAGTAATAGATAGTTTTTGAATGCTGAGAAGTGAATCTAAGGAATAAATCAGAGATTGATTTATGAGTTATTGATTATGTAATTGGAATATTGAGTGATTGAATTATATGAGAAGTTATTGGAAGATTGATTATAGATGGAAGATTATGATTGTTATTTATTGAGAGTTGTGTGTGTTTTGGACAGAAGAAGTCTGTGATTATAGAAATTTTGTGAATCTAGATTGGTTGGTATGAAGTTTGTTATTCTTGGTGTTGGATGGCATTTATGAATTTTGAGCAGTTTTTTAAGAGTGCAAGGTTTCACAATATTTTTATCAGTTGATGAAGGAGTATTGTTACTGGAAGGAAGCATTGTAGTATCTCTTGGTATTTTAGTGGTTCGGAATACAGTTAATCGTGTGATCCTAATAAATAAAGCTCATGCGCTTAGTCTTTTCTTGTGTTTGAATTTCCCTATACAGGTTTATTTTGAAAGGAATTTGTAGAATAAGTAAAATGACAATCATCATAAGAAACAACATCAATTCCATATTGGCAATAAGAAATAGTTACTTTATTAGAATTTCAAGACAAGTAGTTATGGTGACAAATTGGATTACCATTGCCTTGAAATTTTTTTTGTAAACAAATCAATCTAGTTGCTTATTGATTACATCTATTAGAGCCTATAAAGCTCCATTTTATATTCTATGTATTTCGTCTTGAATCATTGAAGGCAATGAATATATTGAAGAGAAGACAAATGCCACCTTGTCCTAAAAAAGTGGATAATGAATAAGAGTTTAAGGTGGAAGAAGTCTTAGACTCAAGGCGATGCCAAAATAAGTTAGAATATCTTATTCATTGGCATAAATATAATATTAGTGAATGTACATAAGAATGAGCAAAAAATCTTGTTAATACAATAAAAAAAGTTGATACTTTTTATTGATAATATCCATCAAAATTAAGATGAAGAATAACAAATCTTTATTATAAAAGAAACAAGATCTAAAGAAGATATCATTCTATCTTTGATCTATATTATTAGTTTCTATGTATTTATAGCACTAAAAAGATAAAAAATCAACAACTAGAAGATTCAACTTAAGAGCTATCATTTGTTGATTTACTTGAAAAGATATTATAATTATCACAACCTTCAAAACAACATAATAGAAATGAAGATCCTCAAGAATGACATATTTTTTTAGATAGGTAGCAAGATATAATGCATTTGGTATCACAATCTTGATAGAAATTCTTGATATTTGGTGATTTTATTATAGATAGGAAAAATCCTTCATAATGTTCTAAATGTTTTATTTGAAGGAAGTTACAAAGGCCTTAATAATTTGAAGGAGATTCAATATCTAGAACTTACCTTTAAAAGAAGATAATATCATAAATATATATATATATATATATATATATATATATATTTACTTAGATAAGAAATACTAAGTAGAAGATAATATAGATAGATTTTATATCATCTTATGGTAAAGCTTCTTAAAAGCTTTGTAGATACATATTTGACTTTATACATATTTATAGTTGATTGGAAGGTTAGAAACTTAGCCAACAAGTTAGCCATGTATTGTACATGTAGATAGTTTGTAATATAAGCTAATAATATGGAATGCATATATAAAACTTGTTTTGCAAGTTAAGATATATGTCTTGTAAATTGAATACATATTAAAGGTCTTAAAGGACGTCATTAAATAGCTTCTAGTTAGATAGTATAAGTAGAAGCAAGAATGAAGCCATCTTCATTCTTATCAATGTCTTTTTAGTCTTTAGTCTTATTTCAAGTCTTACTATTTTTCTTATCTTTGGCAATAGCTATCCTAGTTTAATACCATACTATCTTTAAGTGATTTTTTAGTATGTTTGAGAAATATAAGAATTCATTAATCTTTTAGTTCTTTGAAATTCATATCCTTGTTGTTAAGTTAGAATATTTGACGTATAATATCAAGTTAAAGTTATAAAATAAAGAGACTTTGATAGAATAATCTAAGTATAAGTAATTATTAATAATTTATTAAAAAATAATAAATAAATAAACTTTAATATATCAATGTATAATTTAAAAATAAGACTCTTATACAAAGCTTATAATTCATGTTTTTTAGATCATATTGCTACTTAATATATTTTACATTTTTTTTTTCAACAAAATCAATTATCATTATTGCTAAATTTCATGAATTATATATATATATATATATATATATATATATATATAAACATATTATAGCTTTTTGATTAAATTATTCATAATTACATTGAAAATTTTATTATCTATCATTTGCGTTATCATTTCTAGTCCATTCAAAGCATAATTCTTTATTCTTTTTTCTTTTGTTAAAAAAATAAGATTTTTTAATAAAGTTAATTCTATAAAAAAAAAATACTAAAAAAATATCTATAAGATTGTTAGTTTGATTAATATATTTGATTTAGATTTTATCACTTAGGATTCTCTTGTATTTGAATCTTAAAATTTTAATTTATACTATTTAAGGACTTAAAATAATATTGTAGTTAAATTTCATTAAATAGAATTTATTGCATGTAGAATAATACATACTTCAACAAATATTGAGTTTGAAATGAAGATAGACAAACCACATTGTTAATTTGCAAATGCTATTTTATAGATTTGGTGTTGAAATTACAACAATAAAGGTATTAATAGTTCTAAAAAGTATTGCAAGAAAAAACATGATGATATCAAAAAGACTATGAGAAAGAGAAGCTAATAATTGCAAAAGTTGTCTTTACAATTTTATAAAGAAACAAAATGTATTAAAACAATACCAAGATATAAAAAGAAAAGAACTACAATTTATTCTATAAAGCCTTTGTACATAAAATTCTAATATTGTTTGATATTCAAGAATTAGTTTGTAGTAGATAGAAATATTTATAAATAAATAAATAAATAAATAAAATAAGATGAAGCATTAAATTTTATAAATCATTTATATTATCAAATTTAAGATTGTTAAAAATAAAAATCATGCATATGATTGGTTATTTATTATTTTTTAAATATCTAAATGTAGGAATTTTATAACTATTTTATATTTATAGATATAAGCTTTAATTTAGGATTTAAAATTTTATATATTGACTTGTACACATTATTATTAACAAAAACAAACTCTATACATACTTAAGTTAAAACCTTAAGAACACACAACATATTTTTAAAAATAAATTGTGAGTTATATTATATTTTTTTTTTTCACCTCTACTATAGTCTTTTAAATTTTTGGTGTCTATTAAACTAACATTTAACTTTACCATATATATATATATATATATATATATATAGAAGTACAGATCCCTTTTAACCTTAATATAGAAACATAACTTTCTAATTTATATTTCTTTTTATCAGAGATCATTATACTGTAGCATGTTCCAAAAGCACAATTGAAGAATTTAAAATTAAAAATATAATATCCCCCTTTCAAATTTAAAATTATATTTTTGGACTGTAGTACATTAAAAAGACAAAAATAAAAGATAGCATGTATATACATACATAAATGCATATAAGCTTTTTAAAAAACCTTTACAATCTGCAAACTTTTTTAGAACCAATAATTCAATTCTGTAGCATGCAATGCTCAAATATTCTGATTAATACAACAAACCTATGGTACATACAAACATACATACATACATACATATTAATATTCATTACTATTATCTCAACATAAGATACTATTTTTGGAATTTCAACTGCACATTCTCTAAAACCTGCAAAAAAGAAAAAACTGCACATAAATTTTAATTAAACATGTGCTGAAAAAGAAAATACATGGACCAAAGTAAGCCATCCACAAGCCAACCATGCATGCGTTCATCATATATCCATGTTTCATCCACTATTCATCAACCTCTCGCGAACATCAGCACATCTACGTACCCGGGTCCAAAAGAAGGTCTACAGAATTCGTAATATTTTGAGGAATCTACATTTTGGAAGGTAGAATGTACTGCCGGGGGGGGGGGGGGGGGGGGCAAAGTCTATGTCATCCTCAACGAGATCGAGAATTCCATCGTTCGTTAGTTCGTTCGTTCGGAGGAATTTCTCATGTACAGGATGGCGACGCGGAAATCGCAGAAACTAAGTGTTAAAGAGATAAAAAGAAGCAGTGTCGGCACCAAAATTAGGAGCCCAGCTGCCTAAATTTCATCACCAGGGCCTGGAAATGGAGGAGGAGCGAAGGATGAAGGGTGAGCTGTTGTGATTAATACTTTTTCTCGAAGTGATCGACCGGAGGCGCTGAGAGTGGCGCCGTCGTGGACTTCCAGAATACTTAATGTAATCACGAATAAACAGAACCCAATTTTTAGTGGCACTATCGGCTTTAGAGACTTGGAGTAACTTGCAGTAGGATGTGCTGGTAGTCGTCATGGAACACGGGGGGATTCTCTGGTGCCTCCTGCTGACGATCATGATGCTCAACAACAACAACCGTGACAGCCAAGACACTACTACGTCTACTTCTAGCATCCCCGCCCAGACCCAAGCAGTCGATCTGAGCTCTGGTGCGGTCTCCTGTCTTGTCTGCCTCTCTCTCTGCCTCTCTCTTCCTCAATATATAGTTCCTTCTTATTGCTTCAGTGTCTGTATGCCTCATGTGTTCCATTAGGGCGACCACTCGTCATGGAGGTGATCGATTCACGCTGCGGACCACCAGCCCTTGACAGTGCGGGAAGAGTTGTCAGTTTCGCCAGCATTTCCTGTTTAATCTTCTTCGATCAACAGGAGATGTTGTGCTGGTGCTGTGTGTTTCCGTGGATCGTGTCCAGTGGATTGTTGAAGGTGGTGATTTCTTCTCAGTGTAACTATGATTTACGAGGAAAGTATTGACTCATTGATGTTGCCACCATAAGGAGATGGCGACGAGGATAATCCAAACAAGAGGAGGAAGCCGAAAGAGGACTCTGAGAATAAATTTGAATGCCGCTTCTGTGACATGAAGTTCCCCAAATCCCAGGCTTTGGGTGGACACATGAATCGTCACCGGGTGGGTGAGTGCCGTTAATTTTTTTTTATTGCTATTATAACTATTGCAAAAACTTTCGCACACGTTTCATCCTTTTCCTTCACCCGCTCCCGCTGAGTTTTTTTTTTTTGGTTTGTTCCATTTTTCTTCCGAGTATTATTCATATGTTTGGGGATCTAGTTGAAGAACACACACCAACACAGAGATGTGTGTATATATATATATATATATATATATATAAATGGATATGTTCACCTCACTTTTATTCACCTTATTTCAGAGAGAGAACATGAGGAGATACAGAAGGCAAGAAATCTTCTAATTGCACAGCATCATGCTCCACCGTATTATGCGGCTGCACAATATTATTCTCGAATGTATGTTCACCATCCTCAAGCTTCTTACAATTACAAGTTTTCTACTACCAAGTTCTAAAAGCTTTTTCTTTTTGTTCTTGTTATTTTAAAATTTTCTCACTGAACTAGATGTTTTCAGATCTGTTTAGTTTCTCTTCTATTTTTTACAACTTTGGTGAACTTGAATTTACAGGGATGGTGCAAGCACTTCTGTTGATGCGACTGGAAATTTCCCTTCAACTGCAGGCTCCTTCATGACACCTCAGTTGCCATTCTATCAACCTCAAGCTCAATCGAGTGTGCAAAACTGGCCAGGGAACCAGCTTCCCCCACTGCAGCCAAATCTAGATTCTGCCCAAACAAATCTACAAGGAACAAACTATTTGAATCCAACCGACAACACGAGAGCATACCAGAGTCTGCCAATGCTGCAAAGAGAAATCCTGATGCACGGACTTCAACATCCGCAACACGCACGAGCTGAGATGGAGGCTTTAGAGGGAGCCAAGGGTGTCGCTAAGTTTGAGAAGATGAAAGGAGCATTGTTGCCTCAAGAGGAGTATGCTGATGACGTTGCGCGTTCGCTTGCCACATTTTTGAGCGAAATGTAGATTGGATTTTATTTTATTTTTCAAACTTACAGAAACATGTTAACTTATTGTGTATAATCTGTGAAGCATCGATGACACATACATATTGCATTATCGAACTAGAAGCTCACCCACATTAGCGCGTCTATTTAGACATAAAGCTGCATTTCATGTGCCCACAGTAGTAGTTCTTTGTATGAATTTTGTGACCGTGACATGAGTTTCAGAAACCTCTCAAAAGGATCAAATCTACTCCTCTTTGAAGTAAAACAAACCTATCAACTTCGCCCAAAAAAATGAGGTGACGCGGTCCTTTTGCGTTGGTTGGGAACACTGTCTCAGACGTTGTCGTTCTTCCCCTCACCCGCTGTAATTGTTTTTTGAATTTTTTGTTCCAAGACAAGGGAGCCCCCAACAAGGACCTGACTGTGCATTAGACGTGGCTCTGGAGCATCCCACTTTCACCCAATGTGTATTTCTTCTTGAGAGTACCATCGTTCTATTTCTCCTGAAGAAACTTACATCCTCCACTGTAAACACTCGCTTGAGATTCCTCATTCAATACCACATTCAATACCACATTCAATACCATTTTCTCTTACAATTTTTCTCTTGAGCGTTCTCCTTATCCAACTTCGATGCTTACTAAAGTGTGCAACTTGATGACTTGTTTCTCTCATGAGCAAGTTAAGTTTCTCTAGAACGGTTTGATATTTCAAACAAATGGACTGATTGTGGTAAGAAATGTGCAAAACCTGGTCACTATGTTTGTTTGTTTGAGAGTTAGCACCGAAAGGTTGACATCAATCTCAGCAATTAGAGAAACTTAGATTCTAATTAGCTTTGGCAGATCCCAACCCGCATAGCTTGAGAAGGGAGAATTCACTTTGAGCCATCTTCAAAATGAGTAAAGGCACTTAGTGCTTTTACTTCACTTTATGCCATTGAGCCACCTTGCTCCCTCCACATCAATTCCACTATGAGTCATCATAAGCTCTTCTACTATAAATCATCATAAGCTCATCCACATCAATCCCAATGCCATTTCATCTTCTTATATCATCATGACTTGTGTACATCATTTTTATAATTCCATGTCACTCCTGTGATGTATTTAGGATTAGAGTAAATTGTAATTACCATGCTTAAGCAGCTAAAGTAAATTAAAATGTACTTATAGTCCTTTTTCAAATGAGATAAATATTATTGAGTGTTATTTTTGTAACATGATATTAGAATGAAGTTAGGATAATTTTTAGGTTTAGTGAGCCTTGCTTCTAATTTAAGAAGTAGAAAGTAGTTGAAGAAAAAGCAAAAGGAAGAGAGAAATTTGCAACCTCTGAAGTAGGAAAGTTGAGCAAACTAGTTGTAGTCTAAAACTATTTTATTTAGAAGTTGAAGATGACCGCCATCCTAAAAAAGAAAGAACCTATGGAACATTATAAAAACCAAGAAGGTAGTATCATTGTTTCTTGTTACTACATATAAAATTTCTATGTTATTATATATAAAAATTCAGTTTGCAAAAGAAAAACAAAGAGCCTTATAAGGTCTTACCATGTCTTTGTAATTATTTTAATAGGCATAGTTTCACAATACAACAAACTTGTAAATTTATGGGATATATTTAGAAGAATATTTCATGCATGAGATCAATAATAAATCATATTATTGACTAATAAACATAATGAAATAACAATGAAAGAAGGAAGTGATATTAACACTTATATGATAGAGGCAATAGATTTAAAGAATTAGTTGAAGGTATTTGGTAATGAAATTGTAGGTGAGACTTTCATAAATATAGTCTTCAATGGACTACCACAAAGCTACAAAATAGTGATGGAAGGCATCACTTACATACAAAAATTAAGGTTTGAAGATGTTATAAGTAAGTTTCTTAGTTAAATCCATTACATGGCTATAAGACAATAAAAGTTGGGATAAGAAGAAGCCTTAGTAATATAATTTCAACAAATAAACATAAGTGGACATAGATACAAACAATTCATATAAGAAAGAGGACATCAAAGGAGAAGGAATTAAGTGTAAGTCACAGAATTGACCCACTTGTGTATTTAATACAAAAAATATACTTATTATATTTAAAAACACCAATTTAGTGAATTAATAAAGAAAATTTGAACTTTATAGTAAAAAAATAGGATTTTAATACAAGACTAGGTTTCTTATAGAGTTTTCTTTGAAAAAGAATTTTAAAATAAATATATATTTTTTTAATCTAGCTAATATAAATTTAGGATTTTTTTAATATAGTAATTTTATCATTATTAAAATTTTAATTAGTTGAAAGCTATAATAGAATTTTTAATTCAAAAAAATCTAAATACATATATATATATATATATATATATATATATTTATAACAAATTAAAAGAAAAAAAAAGAAATAAAAGAAATAAAAGAAAAATAGGAAATAAAAAAATAAAAAAATAAATAGAGAAAAAATAGAGAATGAACACAAAGGCAAGGACAAGGGCAAGAAATCACTCCTAACTTTTAGCACCTTCTTTGTTGATAGGAGTCTGGCTAGCCTCGGACCTCCTTCTCTCTATTTTGTTTTAATTTTTTTCTTGAAACATCTCGATTCCGAGTGATATAAAAGTTTTTTTTGTATTGCCTATAGTTGCAATGAAAATTAGAGAATCCTCTTCTTGTAAAAGAATGATGTTGTGGTGGTCAATTTCTTCTCTTTTGGTTGTTTGTATTGTTGTAAAGTTCCACACCTAGACAGAATTAATTTTACTTTCCCTTGCTAAAGTACGCAAGAGATTCTTCTTGTTATTCTTCTTATGCTCCTTATAGAGATTTGACTATGGATGCATATGATGGCATAAATGTGGAAAAACTACACAAATTGGATTCATATTATTGTCTCTTGTTTTTTTTGTGATGATGCAATAGAAGCTAACCGTTTTTTTTATTATTGTGGTAGTTGTGCATTGTAGTTGGTATTGATATGTTAAGAGTGGCGATATCTTTCTCGCTTGTCATGATTCTAATTACTATCAATAGACCAATCACATGGTATTGGTGGTGTCATTTTTGGATAGATGATTCATAAGATTAAATAAGTACCAATTATTCAAAAGTTCTAGTATATATGATTTTAATTTTACTATGGATGTATTCATTGAAACAACATTAATTTTACACATTGTACAAGTTGGAGGTTGGATTTTGAATATACCCTAGTTTTATTTTATTTTTTTTGCATGTAATTATTATATTTTAGTATTGATTGAAGGTATAGTGGTGATTATTGGCAACATTAGAGGATAAGAAATTAGGTGCTTGTATATTAGATGATCAACAATGGTGTGCAAAAAGGATAAAACATATTATATCAAAATCCTCTTTTCTAGTATTAAGTGGACTCTAAATGTAGATCTTCTTTTGTGTAGAAATCTCAAGTAAAACTATTTACAAATTCCTCTTATTATTGGTGATGGAAATGCCAAGCTCAAGATTGCAATTTTAGTAGATATTTTATAATTTATTTTACTATTGATTAGATGATAGAAAGAAAGCTGGTGCCAATTGGAAATACAAAGACTTCAAGAGGTAGAATCTTTATAGATCTTATAGATATACAAATGCCTTAAAAGCAAACCTTGTGTAAGTTTAAGAAATTGTTTGATACAGAAGTGCAAGTACTATGTACTTGTTTGGTTTGCATCACAATTCCTACAAAATCATTTGGTCTAGCATTGTCATGAACATATTGTCACAGATATATATACTTATTATAGTTATTATCTATATAATTAAGTAGAAGTAATTAAAAATAGATGAAAATAGATTAATTTCAGAATATCTTTTAAAAAAACTTAGAAGCTTCATAGACATGGATTTGACTTTAGACGTGTTTATAGTTGATTTTTAAATTAAAAATTTAGTCAACAAGTTAGTCATATATCATATATGTTGTCATGGATATATATCTACTGTAATTATTATCTAAGTAATATGAATAGGTAGGATTAGATAAAAAATAGGTTAATTTCATAATATCCTTTAGAAAAACTTCCTAAAAGTTTTTTAGACACTGTTTTGACTTTACATATGTTTGTAGTTGATTGGTAAGTTAGAAACTTAGTTAACAAGCTATTTATGTACTATATATATTGATAGCTTGTAGAATAAGCTAACTTTGTGGCACTCATATAGAAAACTTATCTTACAAATCAAGATATGTGTCATAAAAGTCAACACATTTTTGGAGGTCCTATAGAATGTTGCCACATAGATCCTAGGTAAATAGAATATATAGAGGCAAGAGTAAAGCCTTCTTTACTCTTGTTAATTCTTTTTTTGTTTTTAGTCTATTTTCAAGAGTCTCTAGTTTTTTTGTGTTTTTGTAATAGCCATTTTAGTTTACTTTTAATATATATATTTTTTATTTTTATTTTTGTCACTTTTTTTTTACATAGATTTTTCATGTTTATGCATTTTTTTTTTAGTTCATGTCTTTGACAGATTGATAAGAATATACTCACAATATTAGAGCTTTATCTTCTTTTGATTAAGAGTGGATTATCTTTTTTTCTTAATGAAACATAAGTACATTAGAAGTTATAGATTATCCTCTTCTAAATTAATATTATTTTTAGTATTTTCTTTGCTTTGAAGTCTTTTATTCTGCTTGTTTTAAGCAATATTAGATATTTTTTCTAAGTATTATCATAGTAGAGCTTTTTGAAATGAAAAGTAGAATAGTACAAATATAAGAGCAATTGAGAGAGTTGATGCTTGCAATGCATCAATTCAATTTATTATCACCAAGACCAACAAAAATAACAAGAAGTAAAGATACAGATATGATTGGAGCTGTTTCAACATCTAAACCAAATCACATCCTTTTTCCTATAGTAGAACACTCTTCTAATATTAGAGAATCCAAAGTTACTTTACTTGAGAAGTTTGATGGCATAAGATCTAAATTTCAAGGATTTATGAACCAAGTACAACTTGTGATTGAACTTCAACTTCAAAACTATTCAATTTTAGGATTACAAATTATATTTATTGGTATATTTCTTTTAAGTTTGGTATTATCATGGTTTTTATCTTTTTTTGAATAATGAGATCTAATATTGGATAATCTAGAGGCTTTTTTGGTAGAATTTTGATCTATGTATGGAAAACATAATCCAATTTATATTACAACTAATAAGATCTATATCTTGTAACAAAGAAATTGATTAATAACATCATATGCTTCAAAATTTTGACACCTAGGAATTGATATTAAGTAGGATGAAGCTGCTTTTATCAGCTAATTTCTCTATTGATTATAACAGAAGCTTTTTTAAACAACCTTTTTTTGGAGTAGTAATCTATCCACATCCTATAACTAACAAAAATCTACTAACATGGCTT